CAGGGAGGTGAAAGATTTCTACAAGAAGAACGACAAAACACCACTGAAAGAAATCAAAAATGACAAATAAATGGAAAAACATTCCATGCCCATGGATTGCAAGATTCAATATTATTGAAATGTCCATACTGGCCAGAGTCAATTACAGATTCAATGCTATTTCTATCAAACTACCAGTGTCTGTTTTTACAGAATTAGAAAAAAAAAAAAACTCTTCTAAAATTTATATGAAAACAAAGATGAGCCTGAATAACTAAATTAATCCTAAGCAAAAATAACAAAGGTGGAGGCATCACATTACTCAACTTGAAATTATGCTACAAAGCTGTAGTAACCAAAACAGCATGGTACTGGTATAAAAACAGACACATATACCAATGGAACAGTAAAGAAACCAGAAATAAAGCCACATACCCACAGCCATTGAATCTTTGACACAATTGACAAAAATAGGCAATGGGGAAATTACTCCCTGTTCAATAAATAATGCTAAGATAATTGGCTATTGATTTGCAGAAGAATAAAACTGGAAACCTACTTATCACCATGTACAAAAATTAACTCAGGATGGATTAAACACTTAAATGTAAGACCTCAAAATTTAAAAATCCTAGAACAAAACTTAGGAAATACCATTCTGGATATTGACCTTGGCAAAAAAATATATGGCTAAGTCCTCAAAAGCAACTGAAACAAAAACAAAAATTGGAAGTGGGATCTAATTAAAGAGCTCCTGCATATCAAAAGAAGCTACCAACAGAGAAAACAAACATCCTACAGAATGGGAGAAAATTTTCACAAACCATGTGTGTAAAGTAACAAAGGCCTAATATCCAGACTATATAAGGAACATAAAACAATCAAAAAGCAAAAAACAAGCCCATTAAATGTAGACCAAGAACATGAACAGACACTTCTTGAAAGAAGACATACAAGCAGCAAACAAACATATAAAAAATGCTTATCATCACTAATCATCATAGACATGTAAATCAAAACCACAATGACATACCATCACACACCAGTCAAAATGTCTATTATTAAAATGTCAAAAAAATAACAGATGTTGGCAAGGCTGCAGAGGAAAAGGAATGCTTCTACAATGTTGGTGAGAAGGTAAATTAGTTCAGTCACTATGAAAAGCAGTTTGGAGATTTCTCAAAACACTAAAAATAGAACTACTATTCAACCAAGCAATCCCATTACTGTGTATATACCCAAAGAAAAAGAAATTGTTCTACTAGAAAGACAAAAATATCTGTACGTTCATTTCAGCACTATTCACAAGAGCAAATACATAGAATCAAGTGTCTATCACCAATGTCTTGCATAAAGAAAATGTGCTATATACACCATAGAATATAGCCATAAAAAAAGAACAAAATCACACCCATTGCAGCAAAATGGATGCAGCTGGAGGATATTATCCCAAGTGAATTAATGCGGGAACAGAAAACTAAATACCACATGTTCTTATAAGTGGAAGCTAAACATTGGGTACACATGGACATAAAAGTGGAAACGATAAACACTAAGGAATACCAGAGGAGAGAAGGAGGAAAGGGACCAAGGGTTGAGAAACTACCTATTGTGTACTATGCTCACAACCTGTGTGTGATGGGATTCCATACCTCAAACCTCAGCATCATGCAATATACCCTTGTAACAAACCTGTACATGTGCCCCCTGAATCTAAAATAAAATTTGAAAAAGAATATAAAAAATGTCTACTATCTTTGGTAATTCTCATTGTTAGTTTTCTCAATATGAAAAATTGAGATATGTAAGTATCTGCATTAATAACAAGTCGATATAATAAGTACCTTGTAAAGCATTTGCTTGGAGCTTGGAATATCTTTTCTTTATATTAAGTGATGTTTCCGTTTCAAAAACCAATATTCAAAATCATCTTTAACCTTTTATATATCTGAAATAAGTGTATAGAACTAAAGTTTATATAGAAAAAATTTTTTCTGAGAAAAAGTCTGAGTTCCATTTTAGATGGCAGGAACACATCTCCTCCAATCTCCTCCACAGTGCAGACAAAATGACTCACCCTCTATTCCTAATCATCTTTTTGGTGGGGAAGAGGATTAGAGGAGGTCACCAAGAATACATTATCGGTTGTGTTTATGACTCCAATAAATGTACCACATGAAAATCAACAATTCTCTCTGGGAAGCTTTGTTGGGTGCTTTGTGATACAAGTTCCCTTGAGCCTGGCTTTTATTTATAAATGCCTCACCTATTACTGGAGCGGGAGGGGAAGGGCAAGAACCTTTGTGCTTAGCCCAACGGCAGTGCTTATAACATCATATTTAATTGTTTATTTACTGATCTCTTCTAGTATACTAAACATTTTAGGGCAAGACTATAGTCTGTTCACAATGGTTCTCACAGTTCCCACAACAGTGCAGAGAGGTGCAAAATAGGTAGTGTTTAATCAACGAACTTGGAATGAAGAGAAACCTAAGTAGGATGACAAGAATGAAAGTTGAAGAATTTCAGTGGTAGAAGCTCATAAAGCTCAGAGACTTCACAGGTGTGAGAGATCTTAGGAAACTTCTTCTTTCTCAGATATCTGCCTGGTTGCCCCCTTCTCTCTCTTGTGACCATTCTTGTGTTATAAAGACCAGTCTTTATAACACAGCCAAGTTCCCTTCCCGGAAGAATAGAGTGACTCCTTTACCATTCAAGCTTCTGTGGCTGAAGTTATCACAGAGACATTTCCAATTTTTAAAAGTGATTTTGCTAATAGTAACAAGGTAGAAATATATATGAAAACTGAGTTTTCTCACATATTTTCACTCTTTAGAATATGCATGTATGAAAGGCCAGACTATTGTGCACACCCATGCTGAATTTCTCTGTACACCAAAGGCTGATGGAAGATTCAATTGGATTTGAATGTAATACTACTGACCAACCTTTCTGCACATTTCATTGCATGCACCAAACAAGAGTAGGTAGTTTAAAAGTGAAAGTAAGGTAGACTATGGAAGGCAATGAAAAAATATGAGATTAGGACCGAGATACAATAGAATAGTGTTCCCTTGTTTAAGTAGCTGTGTGTGTGTGTGTGTGTGTCTGTGTGTTTGTGTGTATGTAGGCCATTACTGCAGGAGATGAAAAAATAATCACATTGTTAGACCATCTTTTACTTCTCATTCCCCATGCCCTCTTCCAGTCCTGCTAGCAGAGATACCGTCTCGGACCCACCTTTGTGCAAGAAGATATGTGAGGTGTGAGTAGAAGGAGAAAAGGAGGACACAGGAGAAAATTCTAAGTTGCAGTGAGAAGGGAAGAGAAAAATCAAGCACATGCAGAAGACACAGGTAGAATACCCACAAAGAGTGCTCACTCTTAAAGGATAAAATCCTGCCAGTATATTTGGTTATGGAGATTTTTTTGCCAAAACTTTTGTGGGGTCATCACTGCTGCACTTCCTTGTCATTTCTAGATCCCTGACACACTCGACATCTTCCAAGCTAATCACCACTTCATGGTTTTGGGTTACACTTTTCCTTAATATAATGGTGCTCCCTTAATATCAGTGTCTGGGAAGGGGTAAATAAAAGGCAGTGTATATGTTACTTTACTGCTTCATCTTAATATTTCCTCATACCTCCTGAAAAGTTTGTATAGTCAGTATTTTCTAAAAGGAGCATAGAGAATTAAAATAGTGAGTTTACATTGTCTATCAAATCCTTAAAACTGGGGATCTGACATGTCTGCTTATAAAAACATCCACCGTCAAGCCACTGGGAGTTCCTTCTGATGACCTATCTCCCCAGGATCCAGACTGTGGCCTCTGATCATGTTATTCACTCTTCTCTTGCTCCTCTCTTTCTTCTCCTGCTTACCATACACCTGAATTCTTATTACTCATCTTTGAAAAGTGGTTTAATTATATATTTCTTGCTTTCTAGATCATGTTCTTTATACTTTATTTCTTGTAGCCAATGCAGTTGAGCAAGGTAGTTTCTTAAAGCCAGAGGAACTCTGTTACTAGTCCAAATAATTAAGAAAAGAACTCAATTACTAATATATTTATCAGGCATTACTGAACTCTAACTTAGTTCCAGGCATTATGCTGTGCACATAGCATATAGATGAAGACATCAAAACTAACTTAAAAGTTATACTCTTAAGAAAGAGGTAGAAACAAAGACAAATAATTTATTGGTATATGATATGCTGGTGTCAGAAATAACCACTGGGCATTATATATATACTAGGAAATTGGCAGCAAGCATCATGTTTGGCTTCCTGGAGGAGACGACAACTGAGTTAAGTCTAAAACGTTGCTAAGACTTAGCCAGAGGAAGGAGATGGATGGTTGTAGTGTGGGTATTGAAAAAAAAAAATTACTCCGGGCAGAGTAAATACATGAAAAGGAGAAGTAGCATGGCCAGCATGAGTAAGGTGAGCAGTTTATTGTCACTGGAACATTATTTAGTAGAAAGAACTCATGGGTAAATAAACTATAGTGATAAGTAGAGATCAGGTCACAGAGTGCCTTCCTCGTTACATTGAGTAGCGTGAACTTTGTGCTGTAAATATTTTAAAGAAGGGGCTAAGTACATTAGCCAGAAATAGACATGAAGGGAAAGGAATTCAATTCTTTCAGTAGAAGTATTCAATATTTAAGCTTAGGGCAGTGACAGCAAGGAAGGAGAGTGATCAGGATTGGATTAGGGTATTGCTATGGTTTGAATGTGTCCCCAGAAAAGCATGTGTTGAAAACTGAATCCCCAGTGCAACAGTGTTGAGAGGCCTACTGGGAGGTATGTACGTAATAAGGGCCCCACCCTCATGAATGTATTAATGCCAATTATAAAAAGGCTTGAGGCTCTAAGTTCAGTCTCTCTCTCTCTCTCTCTCTCTCTCTCTCTCTCTCTCCCCCCCCCACCCCCTCCCACTCCCTTCCCTGCCCTTCCCTGTCTCTCTTTCATGGGGGTGCTCTCTTGCCCTTCTACCTCCTGCCATGGGGCGATGCAGCAAGAAGACCTATGCCAGATATGGGCCCATGACCTTGGACATCCCAGCCTTCAGGTCTGTAATAAATAAATCTCTCTTCTTTATAAAGTACCCAGTCTCAGCTTCCCTATTATAGCAATGCAAAATGGACTAAGACATGTATTATTTAGAAGATAAAATCTCTTCAGTTTAATGACTTGGTTTGGTGAGCCACAGAAGGGGCCACCTGAAGGAGACTGCCTGTGGTTGTGACTGGAAATGGATTAATATAAGAGTAGAGGAGATAACTTTCTTTTTTATCCTTGGAAGAAATCACATTATTATTACCCATTAAGATACAAGTACATTTTTTCAATGATGAAAAATTTGCAACTATCCATTGTAAAATATGTTTTCAGTGGTTGTTTTTGTAATCTGCCCAGGCCAAAATTGTATACTTGATATATTGGCCAGCATTTGAAATAGAATACATCGATATTTTCAATCACAATAAATATGCTGTAAAGACAAGTTCAACGCTTATCTTAATTGGCTAACAAATAATCAGATTCATGGTGCTGTTTAATCCATTAGCATTAACAAGGTAGTGATAGGTTTTATCAATACTGACACTTGTTCGGCCCCTGGAAAATAATAATTTACAATTGCAACCAACACTTCTACATTAACAACAGTGTGTTAACTCTAATTGTTTCAAATTCTAAAATTCTGTTATATCGTACTGTGAAATGTATTGCCACTACTTCACTATGTTAGTAGTTGAGGGCTCACTACTGAAAGTGTCGGTTGTGGACAGAAGCATCCATATCACACGGGAGATTGTTAACAATGAAGAATCGTAGGTCTCACTGAAAGCCTATTGAATCAGAAACTTCATTTTAGCATGATTTTCAGATGATGCACCATGGTATTAAAATTTGAGAAGCATTTACCTAATGTTGGATTGACTGAACATCAGAATTATGGAGGAGACTTCCAGTAACTGGTAATGGAAAAGAATCTAAATCAGAATAACACTCCTTCCAAAAAGAGTGACAAACTTTGGAAAGCTGTTTTGAGGCATGGAAGAACAATGATGAACGGGGAGATATTACAGCAATTACACACTTGAAGGAAGAGAACCAGAGCTACATTTTCCCCTTTACATAGCTTTGCTCAGAGGATACTATCCAGTCAACAAAACGTGCTGGTAGGGAAAGTTCAAGCAGAGAGCCTGTCGACCTAAGGAGTGAGAAGTTGAAGTACAGGGGTGTTCCTATGGCTGGAAAATACCACAAAACAGGCAGTTGCAGAATGTGACTTTATATAAAACCATCTTGAAATTCTAGGCTGATTTATAAAATGTACCCACAAGGATTGAATTTCTAAGTAGCCAAAGGGAAAGTAAGTGAAAGACTGGAGGAACTTAGACCAGATTTGAGCTGTAGGCACAAAAAGGGAGACAGAATTTGTTAATATTTTATATTGTTTTCTTCTTTTATTTTGTTACTTTCTGGTCTTTATCACAGCATTCCTTACTTTGTTGTTACTTTGCCCTACTTTTCTAGTTTTCTAGGTATAAATTTAGGTCATTGGTTTTCCACCTTTTTTTATAATCATAAAATCAACATATGGTCATGAAAAACTAATAAACTTTCCTCTAATAACTCTCTTAGTACCCTCCAAATTTTGATATGTTCTAATTGAATTATCATTCAGTTTGAAATATTTTAAAATTTGCTCTATGATATAATAGTTTGTCTATAGATATTTAGATGTGTGCCATTCAACTCCTGATGGGGATTTCCTAGACAGAATCTTACTGTTATTAATGTATCATTTAATTCTATTATTAAGTAGAACAGAGTCTGTATGCTAATGATTTATTTAAATTTATGGGGCGGGCGCGGTGGCTCACGCCAGCAATCCCAGCACTTTGGGAGGCCAAGGAGGGTGGATCACGAGGTCAGGAGATTGAGGCCATCCTGGCCAACATGGTGAAACCCCGTCTCTACTAAAAAATACAAAAAAATTATCCGGGCGTGATGGCGGGCGCCTGTAGTCCCAGCTACTCGGGAGGCTGAGGCAGGAGAATGGCGTGAACCCGGGAGGCGGAGCTTGCAGTGAGCCAAGATCGCGCCACTGCACTCCAGCCTGGGCGACAGAGCAAGACTCCATCTCAAAACAAAACAAAACAAAAAATTATGGACACCTGTATCATGACTCAGAATATGACTAATCTTGATAAATATAGCATGTCCACTTGAAAAAAAAATATATTCTGAAGTTGTTTATTACAATGTTATGTAAGTACCAATTTAGACAAAATGGTTGCCAGTGCTGTTCACTTCTTCTAGGTTTTTATGATTTTTGTCTATCATCCTATCAATTGATGAGATAAGAGTTTTAAAATCTCCAGTTATGATTGCAGAATTATCTAGTCTTTAATTCTGTTAACTTATGATTCATGTAATTTGAGGCTGTTATTAGGCATATATACATTTCTGATCATTGTCTTCCTGATTAAATAACTCTTATAGTTATAAAATGTTATTTCCTATCTTGGTAGTACTCTGTCTTAAAGTCTATTTTATCTAAAATTGTCTTACGTGGATAGGATATAGGTTTTGTTTCTTATCAATTATGATAACTTCTGCCTTCTGATTAGATTGTTTTACCTAATACTATTTAATGAAATTAATGATATACTTGGAATTAGCTCTACCATTTTATTTGCTTGTGTTCATCTCCTGTGTCCTCCCCACCAATTCATCCTTTCCTATATTATTTTGTATTAATAATTAGTATTCTAGTCCAATTTATCTACTGGCTTTTTACTTAGACATCTGAATATCTTTTTTGCAGTTGCTCTGTAGATTACGCATTTTTAACTTTCTTATAGTCTATTTTGTGTAGTGTTGTACCAGTTCACATAAAATGTAGAAACCTGGTACTCTATAGGACTATTTATCCCACCCTGCCAGTCCTTTGCACCTGTCATATATATCATATTTACATAAGTTATAAACTCTACAGCAAAGTTGAAATTTTTACTTTAGTCATACAAATTTTAAATAAATTGAGAAGAAAAATCTTTTATGTTTATAAATATTTACTATTGTTAGCGTTCTTCATTTCTTCCTGAATATCTGAGTTTCTGTTTGGAATCATTTTTCTTCAACTTGAAAAACTTTACTAAACATTCTCTGCAGTTCATGTTTGACAAATTCTCTTATTTATCTGTTATTTGAAATTGTGATAGGTTGATGATTTATTTTCTTTCAACACTTTGAGAATGTAATCCCATTGTTTCTGGCCCGCATTGTTTCTAATGTGTGTTCTTGGGTTTGAGCACTACTGAGCCAGTGGAAAATGGGGTGATACTAATCCATGAAATGAAATAAATTAAATTAAAACCAAATAAGCAATAGAGAATACTTTAAAAGTTACAATTATTAATATCCAATCAGGACTGACCCGAAAATCACAAATTATTTAGAATTACCTATATCTGTCTGAGGTATTTTCAGACACCAACCAAATTCCCTGCTTCTCTGCAGATACCAACTGGGTGTCCAACAATTCAATTGAATTCTGACACTAACCACTGAGAGTCAGTGTCAGACTCCACGAGATTAAGGGTTCAGCCCCACAAGATTGCCCTCAGGTCAGATGCGATGCCAGTCGTATGTATTTGGTCATCCATGCATCTGATCAAACAGCTATAAAAGATGCATTCTGGCTGAGCATGGTGGCTCATGCCTATAATACCAGCACCTTGGGAGGCCAAGGCAGGCAGATCACCCGAGGTCGGGAGTTCAAGTCCAGGCTGACCAACATGGTGAAATCTTGTCTCTACTAAAAATACAAAAATTAACTGGGCATGGTGGTGCATAATTGTAGTTCCAACTACTTGGGAGGCTGAGGTAGGAGAATTGAATTGCTTGAACCCGGGAGGCGGAGGTTGCAGTGAGCCGAGATCACAGCCACTGCACTCCAGCCTGGGCAACAGAGTGAGACTCCATCTCAAAAACAACAACAACAGCAACAACAACAGGCATTCTAACTATTCCCTCCTCATGTCCAATAATTTGATAGGATGGCTCATAGAAATCAGGAAGCCACTTACCATTTACTAGTTTGATATAAAGGATACGAATGAAGAGCCAGATGAAGTGGTGCATAGGGTAAGGTTAAGAAGGGTCCCACGTGCAGTAGTTTCTATCCCTGTGGAGTTGGGGCATGCCACTCTCCTGGTACAAGGCTATGTTCACCGATTCAGAATCTCACTGAAACTCTTTGTTCAAAACTTTATAGAGCTCAGTCTCTAGCTTCAGTCTTCCCCAGAGGTCATTGGGTGGGACTGATAATTTCAACCCTCTAATCATTTGGACTTTCTGGTGGCCAGCCTCAACCTGACGCTATTTAGGGGCCTCATCCTGATTACTTCATTAGCACAAACTCTGGTATGATGAAAGGGTCTTGTTATGAACAACAAAAGACATTCCTATTACTCAAGAAATTTCAAGGATTTTAGGAGCTCTGTGCCAGCAACTGGGGACACAGATCAAATATATTTTATATTATACCACAATCTGGAACAGAAGGGTACACATTATTACATATTAATATATATCATATATATAAACATCAAACTTTCCTAAGAAATTGAAAGAAAGTAAATATGGTATTTTGGGGGAAGAAGTAAAATGATACCAAGGTCAAAGCCTAGACCTACACAAAGGAATTAAAAACATCACCAGTCAAAATTATATATTAAAACTAGACTTATTTTCTTACTTTGAAAAATATCTATTAAATATAATTTAATATCTAAAGGAAATAAATAAACAATGTATCATGCTATTTATAGCAAATGTAGAAGTAAAATAAGAAAGTAATCAGTACGAAAGCCTAGAGATATGCAGTGGAAGTATACTGTTGTAAGGTTCTTAAGTGTAAAGAAGTATAATATTACTTGAAGTTAGACTTTAATAAAATTAACCCTAAGACAACCATGAATAGGAAAAAAAATCACAGAGGTATAGCTAAAATTCCAACAAAGGAGACAAAATACAATCATAAAATATGTAATT